CAGAAAACTTCATCTCACCGCCTTCCTCTGACAACCTATAAATCATTCAAGTCAGTTCAACATGGCGTTGAATGAAAGTGATCATGAAATACAACGTTATTGCTACTCTGTCATGAACTGGCTCAATAGATCTTTCTGAGGATTAACAATGGCAATATCAGTCATCAAACCTCAGTAAGGATTGTGCCTACACTATTCTATCTGACAATTATACGCTGAAGGCGATGTGAATTTTGTTGAATAATCCCTGAGACGAATTCGAGAGGATTATTCAAAAGTGTTCACTAAGCCTGGGGTGAATAATTGTTTTATTATAATTTTTCAGGTGCTTTCGAATTGTTGTCAATTCTGTAAGTAAAGACAACATAGCGTATATTTCGTTAAAATTCTGTCATTACTCGTATCAAGATGGACAAACAGTTAAATAGGTTTATTTGATTTAATCAGCCAAGTCTTCAAAACTTTCTTTGAAAAGTGTTCCACCAAACTCGGTACATTTTTTGGCGCTCTACGAAATTGAATTTTCTTCTATCGCGTTTATCACCCTCTCGGAAGATTGATAAAACACGAGGCCGCCATTTTGAAATTTAGCACTCCTGTCGCTATGATCGCTACGCGCGAGCTGATTCTGGAGAGACATTACACAATCCTCGACCAATTAGAGCGCACACATTTCTATAATCACCTAGTAAGCAATTATGCTAAACAAGTATACTACTAACCTAAACAACACCTTCTCGTACCCAGGATCACTATCAGTCTAGATAAAAGAAAAGTTTGCATCTAATTATTTAAAAAACAACAGTATCAGTGAAAGTCTCTCCAACGTGAATACCAATGAGGGTGGGGTTAATTGGAAGAAAACACGTGTAAAATGTCCGCGTTTTTATCAGAACTGAGTTGCTTTGCACATTTACGTGTAAAAGTTTTGAATGATGAATTGCAAAGGGTAACAAAATTGTGCATTAAGAGTAATCTCTTGTAGCCAAAGGAAACCATAAAAAACGCCCACGAAAGGGAAAAGCTACCACATGGATTAGAGTGATTATCACCATCAGCCCTAATAGTAATAATAATCAAACAAGGTATGTTTTTCCTTTCGAGGTTTTGTACTCTCGTTTTCGTCCTTATAAAAGAAAAAAAAAGAAACACGTATAGAGATCACGTTGAAACGGCGAATAAAATGACTGAAATATTCGAACAAGTCAAGAGGGAATCACTTCAATGAAAGAAATCAAGAGCATTTTTCTGAAAGATTAGGCTCGATACTCTCATTAACTGGCACGAAAACTAAGTAAAGAAAGGTCAATATCACTTTTTGCTGGTTGATGTAAAATCTTCTAAGCTGACTTCCAGATTCTACCCGAAAGATCAATCAACAAATATGATTTAAACAAGAACTATTTTTTTCCGTAAAAACTATGGATTAGCAAAATGATGTTACGTTATGAAAAAGCTGACAGGAAAACAACCTTCTGACTGCAGATATCACATGCAACCGTAAAAATTTAAAATTCAAATGATGTTGTATACACAATACCTCATCTTTTTTCGTAAAAAATTTAGACCTCTTGGTTCCAGGCTGTCCTTCCTCGGGAAAGACTTCCAACAACTCCTCAGGTATTTCAGCAACCTTACAATTATCTGATACAGTTAAATATAACACTATCAACGTTATATTGACATATTAAAGATTATTAAACTCTGGATCTTGCATTTCTAGTGTTGTGATAAGTTCACTTAACTCCGGTTATCGGCTCAAATACCGAATAACCTCTGAAGGAAAATGATTCATCAGATGAATTTTCTTTTGGTTAGAAGCAAACACTTCTCCCGTGGATTGGATATAACGTAAAACGATGCTAAGTCATTGACGTCATCTCCGCAACAAAAGTAAAAGCCACAAAGAATGAAATAACACTACTGAGAGGATATTGCTAGAGATTGGTTAAAGCTACGTGCCTTACACCTTATTGGCTATCTATCATCTCAAATCCAACGCACTCTCATGGAATAATTATTTATCATTACCCCTAACACAGTAATCAACAAAACAATCTGTGTTGACAGTGTTGACAGACAAGTGCAAATTAATCATCATCTTTTAAGTAGGAACAATTCTAAATTTATATAAGTCGATGGAGTAATTTGCCATAATAATTGAGAAGTTTTGAACAGTTCCATATTTAATCGATCGGATACTTACCAAGAACTTCCACAGTTGGTTTACCACCTCGTTCAGACTGAAAGACAAAAACCGTATAAGCATTCTCAAGTCTGAAGATACAAGTCAAAGATCGTTGCTAATATCAGGGTGGACAGACAGATTTCCCTGTAAGGGCAAGGGAGTATCTTACAGTAGCAAAAGAAAAATAATGAAATAATAATAACAATAATAATAATAGTAATGATGATAATAATAGGCACAGTTTCTTTCAAAGGGAGGGATCTCATGTACCAAGGGACTTTTCCATGCCATGCCCTGACATGTACCATCTATAATGGCATCAAAACTACAAACTTTAGCTTACTTCAAATCAATATGGTTATTCTAATAAATTGCACAGTTTGAAAATTCAACAATTGACAGAGATAATTTAGTGAGAATATCAGCATACTTACTTTTAATTGCGTTACACATTTTCCTGCTGCAAACCTTTCATTCATGCTGCTATTATCACCATTCCACTACACAAATAAGCCAACCATTTCATTAAAGAATTGTTGGAAACTTTTATGTCTAACTCTGAACAGAGAGCCATGTGCTAATCATGACCAAATTCATGGCAAACGTAATTGATCCTCTTAAAAATACACACCAAGACAACATAATCATTTATAAAATGCTGCAAGATGCAATTAAAAAGGTGACATGATAAAAGATTATCTAAACGTGGGTGAATCAATGGGTAAAATAAGCAATTTAAATCAAATCTTACAGGCTCTATTCCTATCACTCTTTATTAAATGCCTGCTCTTTTGTACATTTCCACTAGTCAAGAGCCCGGCACAGACTAGCATTGGTTGAGAACCTACAATATTTAATATAGAAACTAATACAGGGCTCTTCAGAACATGTCTAACATGTTGTAATGAACTGCAATTTACCTCAATTGAATGAGGATACTCCTTTTTTTCCCTAAATATTCCATTTTTTTGGGGGGGGGTGGTGGTGGGGGAGAAGGGACAGAGGGGCTGATGAAAAGAATAACACTGAATACTGAAAAAGTTGAAGGTCTGGATAAGTGGCTCACTGAAAGGAATCTCATTTGAGCCTTTATGGAAGTTAAAGAAATTATTGTTACATCCCAGGAGGGGGACACTAGGGTTTGCAGTATTGGAGTTTTTTTCTTGCAGTATTTTGGTAATTTCAATATCCAATTGTGGTATTGAGGTATTCTCCAAACAAGCTGGATACCATTTTTTTGCATTTTGGGTGGTATTAAATATCATTCTTCAAGTCCTTCACAGTTTTTCATGCCTTTTCCAGTTTTCATTTGTTTTGGAAACAGGTTGAAATTGACAATTACCCAAAGTACATTCATAAACAAATTCTTATTTATTATTGCTGTCTTATTTGCTCTAAGTGAAACATTAAGAGTGGCGGTTTTTAGCATTACAACAAGTTTTGACCTTATTGTGGTATATAACACTTCTTTCTGCAAAATAATGGTACTTGCCTAATTTTTTTTGGCAGTATTGCAGTGTTGAGAACCCCCTACTGTTCCCCTTTCCAGGAATGTCAAGCACATTTAAGTCTACTAGTCTCATTCCTTAACCCAACACCACATTTGGTATGCATTCTAATTTTTATTTAGCTACAAGTACTTTTCAATTTACCTGAAATATCTTCAGTCCAAGGTCAACAAGGAACACATCATCATCATTCAAGTAATCTTTCTTAAACTTCACCTCTTTGATCGTCACTTTCTATCAGAAATAAAGCAGAGGTGACAAAAATTTGCTTTCCATGTCAAATCATTTCCTTGGCACCGATTAGAATTCTTGTGGGTGCTTTTTTTTTTTTTTTTTCCAAAACAATGCAGATGTTATTTTCTCTATAGCTGTCTGTGATTTTTCTTATACATTTGCATATTTTAGCTTGGGTTGTATTAACCCTTTACTCCCTAACATCAGTGATCATATTCTCCATAAGTTGTCCTATATATTTCTTAAGGTAACGCTAAGGAGAATGTGATTAACAGTCAATAGCTTCTTCAGTTGGTGATCATTTCATTTATTCTTGATATTAGGTGCTAGTCACTCTTAGAGATTAAAGGGTTGAGTAACAAGTATGGCTAGTGTTGCTGTATGATTTATTAATTGTATCAGCTTTTCACTTGTCACAGTGGTTTCATGTTCATGCAAGAAAATGTTACTGGTTCCTTGTTCACAGAAGAACGAAACTTGAAGATCTGATCTCAAGTTCACTTCCATCAGATATGCAGGTTAATCCAAAAACAAGTGATTCCATCTTCAACAAATGGAGTTGTTCAGATTGAATGAGCATTTTAGTCAAAGTGTATAAAAGTGCACCCATTTTTGTTGGAGACTGTTGATATTCCATGAACACTGTAAAACTACTTTAGGTGCACTGTTCACAAACTATAAATAGAGTTGACATAAAGAATTACATCATACAAAGGAGGTACCTTACCTTATTACCAGACACATGAACAAGGCGGGGGACATATTTCTTGGGTTCCACATGACGGAATCCTGATTCAGCCCTACAAAGCATATCATTTTAATAAGTAAACCATAATTTCATACATGCAAAAAAGAAAAAAATTTAATCCACATATTCTTATATGATCTGCTCTCAACACTGAAAATTTGCAGCCCCCTAACCACCTGACTAGCAACTTTGTTAAGCACTCTTGGTTAATAGTATGAATGGTGCTGTAGAAATATAAATTAGTATATGCCCAAACAAGTGAATAGTGATTTTTGTATGCGTTGATTGGCTGGTTCAAAAGTGAATAGCAGGAACAAACCATTTTTTAGCATATTGATGGAAATAAACTAATTTTAGGTATTTGTCTGGTATAAACTAAAACAATTATTCACCTCAGAGGCGTTCACATAAGTGGATTTTAACCTTGATGCTCAGTCAATATCCACATGTATTCACCTTCACTTCAGTGAACAACTCTTTTTTATTATTTTATTATTCTATTATTATCATTTACATTTTATAAGCCCTAAATTAAAATGACCCACATCAATTGATTTATTGTCAAATTAGTCAGCTACTAATTGTCAAATAGTATTCCATTTGATAATTCTTCTAAAAGGTCTTGACAGCAACATAACAAATACTTCATTCTTAGAAAATGCATTATTCTTTTGGCTACAATGATGATAAAGGTTGTGCTGATAAACCATGTTTTAAGAATTCAAAACATTCTGCAATTTTAAGAGGATCCCATTCATGTTTCAAAAATTATCTCACCTTAACACAAGAATGAGTATTTTAATTTAATTTTTAAAGTTTGACCTTTTTCCACATACCCTCCTTTCATTTTAGAAATGGTTTTGAAGTAGCTCTTGAAGAGTGGAGACTCATGATCCATTACTTCACGATGCTGGATAGGTTTATCATCCAACTAAGGAAGAAAAAATTGATAATATTGCCTACATAAAAGCATGAAAATGCCAGATTAAAAAAAAAAAAATCTGTATTCTTTGCTTTCATCCTCATCAAAACAGAACAAACTGTGTATAGATAATTCCATCAAATACTTTTGCTCACAGGCAATTGGTGTAAATGCATCACAGATCAAAAGGCCACAGTTAAAACTAAGAAATAGCCAAGGATATAACTTAACTGATATTCCTCACTTTCAGAACCTTACATTTACAGCAATAACAGAATTTATTTAAAATTTAGTTTAATTTGCTGCAGCTGATATTTTTACTTGAGAGGAGCTAGTATATGTTATACATTCCAAATTTGATGCATGTACAACAAAAGCACTAATCTCAGGTTTTCAACCAAAAGAACCTTTAAAAATTGTAGATTTAGTTCTGACTAGTTTATCACACTTATTCTTGTATCTCTCTCAATCCAGGAAGATACATTTCCTTCATATCTCGACAGTGATAATTTGAGATTAACATTAAAAAAAATAGAAGGCATTTATTCATCCTCACATAAGTGTCCAGTTCAACTGTTTTATATGCAGCTGTTCCATACTCATCCTGGCTGGAGTACTTGCCAATATAAAAGTGAACGTCATGGTCAAGCTCCTGATAAATCATAACAACATTAGTAAGGATAGGTTACCTTAATTTGTAACCTTGATAGAGTCAACAGCCCTGAACAACCACCTCCCACAAGGATAGGGCTAAAATAGGACCAACAAATGTGTATGCAAACCCTGTTTGTAACAATAAAATTATAATTCTTAATAATAAAAAAACCTGGCAAGCCTTAAAAAACTAGCGAGACAATGGTGTTGTTCCTAAGTGAAGAACCCCAACATCAGTTGAAGCAAAACTATCTGTGCCCCTTTCCTACAGGGCTCAAAATTTATTGGGCAGATTAGCACAGCCCACCAAGAAAGGGAAAGTTGAATTGAGCAATTCAGATGCACAATACAAGGAAGAATAGAGAGAGAAAGTAAGAACCTCAATGAAAATGGAAAGACAGGTAACCCCAAGTCGTTTATTTATTCAGTGCATTTAATTCATGGGGATCAAGGATTCATCAAGGCAACCAAATTCATTGTTTTGATTGCTTGGCTTTTAAATAGGGACAAACTGACTTTATCCTAGATTTCAAGCACTGTTCCCTTAACACAGACCACATTCCCAAATGCCAAAATGTTCTTGTGACTGAAACCACCCCTAACTCTTCACACTATAGCATCAGTCCAGCTCCATACCTTTTCTTCATATTGGTCTCTATACATCACAGGGAACTTACATGGAGAATTTATTTAATGTCATGAGTTATTTTCATCTGCAATCATTTCCTTTGCTCTCTCAAACTTTGTTTCATTCACAAGTGATATGACAAGGAAAAATTACATGCTAATCACTCTGATAAGGATCAGAGGGTTGTAGTGAAAACCTCTTACATCTAATCATTGCCCTGACTCCATCACTACCATTTTCAAGGACTTAAACTGACCAACGATGAATTTATAAGATGTACTTTCAAGAAAAAATTTTGTATCAGCAGAATTCTCTGACCTCACTATTAGGATCCTTTTTGTACGTATTAAGAATGATGTACGAGTCTCCATCATAAAATCTCCCATAGTCCTCCTTGGGCCAATCTACCACCTGTGGGTACAAAAGTCACAACAATTTAAATTACAAATACACAAGAGGCCAAAATGCAGTTTAATCAACAACATATTGTCATAGGGCTTTATGTGACAGTGTAATTCATCTGAGCTGTCAAATGTAACCAACAGATTTAAGAACACAACTCTTTATGGAATGTTAGTCTTGTTTTTGAGTGAACTATTTAAGCAACTATTTGTCAAATGCAAAACAAATATTAAATGAATAAAGCCCCAAACAAAGAGGATTATTCAAAAATATTCACAAGGCCTAAGCTTAAAAATTACTTTTGGAAAACTGTGCTGGTCATCACCACAGAAAAATCAATTTTTTTAAAAAATTTATTTGCTCCCAAACATCACACACATCAGAGAACAGAGATAGAGAGATTGGTACAAGAAATTTCCAGCCCTTCCAGTAAGGCTTGAAGTAAGAGGCTACAAGAGTAAAGTATACAAGTTAAGAAGTGACTACCAAAGGTACAAGCCTCTAGGCAAGGCTGAGGGCATGCAACTTTGACAAGAGTGTGCAAAATATCACACCCATTTGTTAATCAAAGCTGTCAGCTGCTAATCCCCAACTTATCTGATTAGGTATCTGATTGAAACGTAATATTTTCTTTCCCTTCCACTCTAGTAGGTTGTTTGAACCTGTAGACAAATTCTTCCTTTTCCGTGACAAAAAAAATTTTAATTCAATGATCAAGTTCCTGGTTAGTAAAAGCTAAATGGTAGAAGATTCATGGAATCTCTTTCATGGCTTTCATCTCTTTCTTTGTAATCTTGACAAATTGAAATGTTGTCATTTTGAGATTTAGCTCTACCACAATAACCACCTTGTACGTGGTGATTATTGCAAGATATGATGCAATCCTGGCTCAATCAAAGTGCACATTTCTTCATAATCACCTGAACAATTGAACAATTCACAAATAGCTGTAAATTAATAACATCTTAGCAAAATTCCAAATTAAGATCAATTCAAAATAGACCAACACAGTCATTAACTGGAATGAAGAGCTAGAACATTACTATCAATATTACAATATTAACCACTAATTTAATAGATCAGGAAAATTCTGAGGAAAGGAAAAGGAGAATTAGGGCTGATGGAAAAAGTTTTGGACATTCACACAAAAATGGCCAGTGTCCTCACTAGCATCCCTATACTTCTACAAACAATGCACCTTGAACTATTTTAGTTCAATTTTTTTTTTCTCAGAACAGCTGAAAACCTTCCCCTTCAAATCCATTTCTCCGCTAATCTTCCATGTTAAATCTATATTTGTCCATTATAATAAGACAGAGATAGTTGGTTTAATATTATCATCACGGAAAAAAAAATTCCTACCTGTAAGCGAACATTTTTTACCCAGAACCTTCTGCATATTGAGCCAAACTTAGCTATTCGATCACTATGAACACCTCAACTTTAGTACCATATAAGGTAAAAACTCCAAAGCTCAAAATAAGTCTAATTATCCTTCAGATGACAGAGGTCAAAATGTCGCATGAATTTAAGGGTTATGTTTGATTGCAAAGAAACAGTAATAATCACGACTACATCATTGTTTGATGGATAAAAAGTATTATTATGATTGATTAGAACATCACGCGAAGGTGTATTTACAGAAACATCTCCAGCTGAGGTTTATTTCCAGCCGAGGTTTGACATACATGAAGATACAGCTCCGACCACACAAGAAATTATGACTAAAGAACGTAAACTAAGCTTAATACTCGCCTTAAATTTGACAATTCTCCAGATCTTTAACTCAACTCTTTGACCACAGCCCTTCCACGCTTTTTCCTCCATTGCTGAACTTTTCTTGACCTACAAATGGATAGCACAAAAATAATTATCAGAGAATAAAATCTCAAAGCCTGTAGCAAATTTCATACTTATGCTGATACACCATCGTGCATAATCGTGTATTTCATGTCTACTTATATACTTATATTTTTATATACGATTACATCTCATTTCGCGAAATGTCTCTCTTGTCACTTGTCTTTAACATTGTGACCTGTGACTATTGGCTTTTAGGGACGTTTTACAGCATTATAAAGTCAAGATTCAGATAAGCCTAATTTGCAACTGATCGAAGCTTGTTTTCCACTGTTTGCATTTGTCATGGTTGAAATAACACTGCATCGCTTGGGCGGCGTATCTCTTCTCTGGCGACAGTTAGGCAAGTTAAGCGAACCTTTACGAGACATCTATCGTTTGTCCACTGCTACATATTGATAAGACAAGGGCAACTCCGGCGGAGCGCTGACGTTTGAAAAATCTTACATTTTTCTCGACGTCTGAGCCGAACAAAGCCAAGTTTGAGTCCTTCCAATCATACTTCTTAGCCTTCACAAGCCCTGCCATACTGAACAACACCTCAGTCTCCAAATGTAAGGTAAACTGTAGCCTGGCGCAAATAAAGGAGTTCCCTTCGCTACGAAGTGCCAAGACTGTATTTCAAGCACAGTTATTGGTCGACGCCATGCTAATGTTGATCGTTGCATAAATATTATAATTCCATAATCTGTTAATCATTTACATATCTAGTTGTCACGGTCACACACTACAATAAACCCAGAAACTGGATCTACTTTGGTTCGATTCCAAAATAACAATTATTGATCGAACGCGACGCTTACATGAATACATTGAAAATTTGCTTCAACTGAAATCGATGCAAGTTCCTTAAAAATAACATACACATGAACACGTATTTTAATACTTTTTGTGTTAAACATTTTAAAAAATTTTAAATATGCACACGAAAAAAAATTCAAAATGAAAATTCAAGAACCGCCCCTTTCAGCTTGGTGATTCTATTAGAATGAACCACTGAAATGGTTTCATTGCCAGGTAGGTATCAAATTTGCTCCGCATCGGGCGCGAATGTATGCTCATATATTACGTTTGTCCCTAAATATTCTCTTTATTAAGCAAAAACAGCCTACTTTAATCAAAATTCAAACGAAAACTTTCATCGCATCGTATCGGTTGAAGTTGAAGGCTTGTTTTTAATAGATCAATCGCCGGCGACATATTTTTCATTCATGAAGTTTTCATTAGTTTCATAACCGTAGTCGGGTATTAATATTTATTATGAATACATTGTAATCTCTTGATTGTGGAAAAAACTGAGGAGAAATTGCAACCAGCCTCACACCCATCTCTGATATAAATCTGATCTTCATTTGACTCGCGAGCCTGCCTCGCACTTGGCTACATTCACAAGGAGAACGCAAAAAGTAGCAGCCGTTTTGGAGGTTACTACTGTACCCTTCGAGTCCATCACAATCCCTGATAGGAAGATGGGCCGATACTGACTCGTTAAACTTATCTGGTAAAACACTACTAAATCATCGCTGATACGACTCTTTTCCAGCTATTGAGGCCGAGCAGTCAGTATCGATAGTCATAATACACAGAGAGCAGTTCCTACGTTGATAGTTCCGATTGCAGAGATATGCAATGTGGTATGTGGTGACTGGGAAACATAGGCATACTCTTCAGTGGGCTATGGGGCGGCCGCAATCTTCTGGTAGATATCCGCATGACATTGGAGAATCTGTGGAGGAGAGAGGAGGCGGGCCAGGTTATATGATAAGGGAGGCTCTGTTGTTGGACACGTAAGCTTCTTTTTGTCACTCTCGATTTTCTCGTCTCGTGGAGAACAATTAAGTGAGCTCATGCGATAGATAGATGCTTTAAATATGTGTGGCAAAGAAAATATCACACCATTAGGAGGTGATTTTAATTAGAAAATTATCCCAATCGGTGGCTCGTTGTTCAAAATTGTAAACGTAAAGTTGTTACTTTAGATGGTGGAGATCACTGGGGCAACTAATGTAACAGAACAAAATGTATTAGTGAGGAAAAGTTTGACTTCAGAGGGGTCGATAGGCTGATTCATAAGGTTAAGAAATATCCGAGAGTGATCATTAGGGAGCAACAGGTTTGGCCGTTTGAACTGTAAAAGGGTTAAAGCACACTGCTTCCAGCCGGGACCAGATCTCGTATTTGGTACGTAGAGACCAACATTACATTAACCCCTTCCTTAAAGCGGAGATTCTTATGGGCAACGAGGAAGCAATATGACACCAGTCATTGATCGTGCCTTCAAGAAAGTTGGCAACTCGAGTACAGGAAGGGTGGTTTATGTACCGGCGGAAGCTTTCATTATGATTCAGCTAAAGTGTGCAGGTTCCTTAATGATCTCAACTGCTTGGCTGTTCGGATATTTACAATGGACTTTAAGCAAGGCGTTTGATTCTGTAAGCCCCCAACTTCTCGAAAACAAACTTAAAGACACCCTCTGAATCCTTATAAAGTCACTTGGTGGTTGAATTTTGTACAGGAAAGAATGCAAAGGGTTGTATATAAAGATACTAAACCTTACCCTTTTAGAAGGGTATCTTAATCCAGTGCCCTACCGGCACTTTTATGTATACCAGGCTGCTTGATGTTTTTCAGATTATTTTTCTAGACGGAAGAAAAGGAAAATTAAAATTTTCTTTCGACCCTTCTTAGTTAGGCCTTTATGCGATATGTTCATCTACGCATTTGAGAAAGATAAAAAAAAAAACACAAACAATGTAGTAACTTCTTACGAGCTAAGAAGACACACAAAGATACTTTGATTGCATGTACAGATGTCACGCTTTTCTTGATCCTTAAAAATCCTAATGTCTGAAAATGAAAGATGGAAAGAGATCAAGTTTCTAAAACCCAAAGTTCAAAACCAAAGGACGAATGAAACTGAAAACGTTATTGCAAAATTGCTCTGAGAGATGTTTTAAAATAGAAAAAAATCGGGTACAAAGTGAGAATGTCTGATAATTACATTTAGCCTCTCTAACAATAGTAATATTAAAGTAAAAAAAAAACTAATGATTACGAAGACAGTTTTAATGTGATAATGATGATGATATTATCAATGATAAAGAGAGGAAGAAAGAGAATGACTTTTCCACAGCAAGTGCAAAGGCTCCCGCCTTGTGGAGAAAAAACAGAAGGTAACTTTATGAGAGTTCCATCATGATCTAGCTCGACCATCCTTTCCTGTGTAACTCGTAGATCAGCGATATTTCATTTAATTTATAACGCCCGTTGAGCCTAGCGAATAACGAAATCAACCTCAACCAACCCGCTTCCGTGATAATGAGCAAAAATGGTTCGTATGTGTTCAAAAAAATTATGTCAATACGCTTTCAATTAACAGTTTCAGTGGTGTTTAGTGGAAAAGCGTCGCGTTGTTAGATTATAACCGTAGCTAAAGCCATGGTATACTTCTGTTACTCAAGAGATAATCAGTTCTTTGTGTTACGCGAACATCTCGCGTCAAAATCAAGCCGCTTCGTATATGAAATGATAATAAAGGAGGCTTTTCATTAGTGAGTTAATAAGATGTGTTTGGCACCTGCGTATATGTATTTAATATTGCTTTAAGGCGCTATATTTCAAAGAAAGTTTGGTTGTTGTTTAAACATGTGAAATTATAACCTCTGCAGAGCTTAATGTATAATAAAACTAGGCAAAACTTTCGAGTCATCAAAACTTCTCTCGATTTAAAACGTCCTTTGCCTTCGGCTTCACGTAATTTATCCTTTCTAATAACCAGAGCTCGAATCATTTTGAGAGACGTTCTTTTGAGAACTCTTAATTTCAGTGTTCAAATCAAACAGTTTGTTTTAGGTATACTAATATGAATAAATAGCACATCCATCAGCTCAATGCAGGTTATAAATATGCGTTTTGGCAGCAGCATGCAGGTGCCATGAATTGTTAATTGCTGTCTCACTCTGCTGCTTGTTTTGTGGCCCTGGACAAAAATCTTCCAGATACCCTCCACAAAATTCTTCTCAAGGCGTTTAGAAGACAACAACAAGTGCAGGGGTTTCCGTAATCAACAACGTCAAGAGTGAGAATTATCGTTTATATTCAAGAGTTCTGCGCATTTTAAAACCATCATGTCTCTATTGCAGTTTCGAAATCCAGGGTCTCTTAAACACTTACGTTTTTCTCGGTGTCACTTCCAAAAAATTCCAAGTTTGTTTCTTGCCAACAACGCTTCTTTGGTTTGATGAGCCCCGCCATCATACTGCCGAGAGCAGCTTCTTCCCGTTACACTCCCGACCGTTTGAAGATTGTCAGAGTACTTTTGACGTTCCGCTTTTTTCTAAGCAGCAATTTGAAATCGATATGTTTTAAACACCTAAATTTAGCTGATCCATCGCCATTCTGATTGGTTCATAGAGGATGTAAATAAATCATGACACTTCAGGGTGTCTTTGCACCTGGGTTCGCGCATATTTTATATTTCCCACTTCTGCTTGGCGATCAATTGACATGTTAATTTTTTCTCTCACAAACAAACGCCATTAGCCTGGTTTTCAGTGAGTTCGTTCAGTTTGCATAGTTGATGGTCGAATATTAACAAATTTCTAGTTTTAAAAGTCAAATTCAGAAACAATTAGAAAGTGAGGGTAAACCTGTAAGCTAAGCTGTCATGAGATAAGATAAAGTCGAACCCAGTCCGCTCGATGAATTAGAAAATTGTGTCCTTTGGCATTTTGTGGTAACGACGGTATATACTTCATACCGTAACAACGCATTTTTTAGTAACCTACACAATTTGTAATAGCGGTTGCAGCATTTTTTTGATAACCTACGCATTTTGTAATACGTATTACAGTATTTTTTGATGCCGGGTGAGGTAAGCTACCTATTTCCTAATAATCGTCAGTCTACGATTTTGTATCATCATCCAGCAAGAAATTGTAATAATGTGTATCTAGAATCTTTCAACACGGTATTATTCTACAGATTGGGTATTTGCAAGTTCATTCCTGCAAATGATAAGTCAAGCACCAGTTATGGGGATTTATAGAAGACAGGGATACATTACTTAAACAGCTATCACAAGTTAATGATAACTCTCAGGAAACATTTCAACAGTTGTTCCGAGATATCGCCCATACATCGGCGATATCTCGGAATTAGGAATAAAGCGCAGTATTCGACGATAATCGTTTGATTTACTTGAGCACAGTAGGTTATTTTTGTGGCAATGTCGGGATTATTGCAATCTGCGTCAATGTGTTGTCACAAATGAATTAGACCGACGATTATTACTCAATGCTGCAGCCTTTATTGGAACCGCTATTGCATAATGCATCGATTACAAAATGCCGCAGAACAGATCCCCTTAGGGGGATCACGTGGTTTTCAGAGGGACGGAGCGGGGGGGGAGGGGGAGGAACAGTCGTCGCAGAGTATATACAGGGACCATAGAAAATCGATTGTCAATTAACTGCCAGTGAGGAGGGGACCGTATAGATGTTACAGAGGCTTATGAGGGGATCAGCACATTTTATCGCGACAAAACCAAACTCCTCCAGGAGAGATTTAGTACAGATCCAGTGACAAAACTGTACATGCAATATTTGATAGGAATTGGAAGGTATGTGGGCTGTAAAGGTCTGTAAAGCTATAGACTGTTTATGTTAT